CTGTTGTCTCCAAGACATCAATAAGTTATTATATTTATTTATTTTGTTTGCTTACTGTGTCCTAGCTTCTTGTTTTGTTTTGATATTCCCAAATAGGCTGCTCATGTGAGCTAGCCCAGTCACTGGTGCCCCTGAAGCTCTAATGTCCTGCCACCAGGTGGCCAGAACTGCCACTAAGTATGTCAGTGCAGGAGTCCACCCACTCTTCCTGTATGGATTCAGCTCAGGGGTCCAGGTAGTCAGCCACGAAGTGTGTGGTGCAGGCTCTCACCTACAGTCCTAGACAGGCATGGGTGATTGGTGTAGGCACAGGCATCCAGTTGCAGCAGGGGGACACACACTAAGCAAGGTAGGGGGCCGATGGCCGCCCTCGAGTGTCTGGGAGGAAAGCAAGTCCCTGTTCCCTAGAGCATGTAGGTGGGTGGGTTTTGCAGCTGGACTAAGAGTACCCAATGCTGCTGGCTGTAAGGACTTGGGGGCACCTCTTACTCTTGGGGCCCTGTAGCAGGTAGTTAGGTGGCATGGGTGGAGCCACCAGTTCTCAGGCCCTTGATGTGGGTAGGTGAAGACCCTGCTTAATGGGAAGAGCAGTGTCAAATATCACGAACCTGCCACTTCACAGCTGAAACAGTTGAAGTTAGACTTCAGTATATATACCCTGTTGTACTGCAGTAATGAGGGCCTACGCTATTGAAACGGGCCCACACAAGTCTACACAGGGGTAAAGGCACTCAAAGTCCATGGATCCCTTATGCCTGTGCCTAGGCAAAGGAACTGTGCCTACCCTGAGTTCCTGGATTAGGGGAGACAGCAGATTATTTTCTCCCCATTTGTTAAAATTTGTTCCCTCTCCAAGGCTGGGAGAATTGCTCAGGGCACACGACGGGTCCTACTTCCAGCCCAGGGGACTCGTCAATCGCTGAAGCCGTCCTGAACCCAGTGCAGAGCAGGGAGCAGGGAGGTAAATGAGAGAGAGTTTTTTCGCTAAAGGGGGTGTTTTTGATACACGCGTTACGCTAGAGGCAAATACTTAACTTTCGCCAATTGAGGGCTGCTTGTCGCTGGTTCTGGATGGCCAAGTAGACTCCATGCTGCTGGGTCTCTCTCAATATGGAAAACGCCTCTCGATAGCTTCTGCTTGCCTGCCTCACCGCTCACCCCCGAGCTGATCTGGGCTGAAGGCCTAAGTTCTGGCAACTCCTCGCTGCTTCCGAACCGTCTCTCCCTCCCCCTGCCACTCAATCTGATTTCTCAACTTTGCCTTTGATGTTCAGGGATCCTAGATTGTCATATATAATCGATTCACTTGTTTTTTCAGGTCTTTGTTGTAAGAGGGACCACCAGAAATGTCTGACTACTCCGCCATCTTGGCCACACTTCAAAGGACCTTTTTATTTTTTTCTTGTTGTAGTTAAATGAAGTTTACATTTCAAGTTAGTATCCCATACAAAATTTTTATACATACATTGTTATGTGACCCTAATTGCTCACCCTATTCTGCAAAAGCACACTCCTCCTTTCCGCCCAATTCCCCATGACCATTCAACCAGCTCCTAACCCTCTCTGCCTTCCCATCTCACCTCTGGACAGAAGCTGTCCCTTTGGTCTCTTGTATCTACTTGACTAGGAGGCACACTCTTCATGAGTATCACTTTATGTCCCATAGTCCAGTCCAATCCCTGTCTGAAGAGTTGGCCTTGCAAATTGTTTTAGTTCTGGGCTGATAGAGAATACAGGGGCCATGCTTTCCGGGGTTACTCCAGTCTCAGTCAGACCATTAAGTATGGTCTTCTTACTAGAATTTGAGTTCTGTACCCCATCATTCTGCTGCTCCATCAGGGACTCTCTGTTGTGCTCCCTGCCAGGATGTTCATTGGTGGTAGAACCATCTAGTTCTTCTGGTCTCAGGCTAATGAAGTCTCTGGTTTATGTGGCCCATTCTGTCTCTTGGGCTCATACTTTCCTTGTGTCTTTGGTGTTCTTCGTTCTCCTTTACTCCAAGTGGTTAATTGACATAGATGTCCCCAGAAAGCATGGTCCCCAGACCCCTACCCCTGCTACTCTGTCTCTCAAAGTACTTGATTGTCTTCAGGAAACTTCTTAGCTTTGGTTTAGTCCAGTTGTGCTGACTTCCCCAGTAATGTGTACTGTCCTTCCCTTCGCCTAAGATGATTCTTATCTACTATCTAGTTAGTGAATAACCCTTGCCCTCCCTCCCCACCCCCGTAACCATCAAAGAATGTTTTCTTCTGTGTTTAAACCTTTTCTTGAGTTGTTATAATAGTGGACTTATACAGTATTTGTCCTTCTGTGACTAAATTCACTCAGCATAATAAGTTCCAGCTTCCACCATGTTATATGATATTTCACAGCTTTGTCGTTGTTCTTTATCATTGGGTAATATTCCATTGTGTAGATATACCATAATTTGTTTATCCATTCATCCGTTGATGGGCAGTTAGGTTGTTTACATCTTTTTGCTATTGTGAACAGTGCTGCAATGAACATGGGTGTGCATATATCTATTTGTGTGACGGCTCTTATTTCTCTAGGATATATTCCAAGGAGCAGGATAGCTGGATCATACGGTACTTCTACTTTTAGCTTTTTAAGAAAGCGCCAAATCAATTTCCAAAGTGGTTGTACCATTTTACATTCCCACCAATAGTGTATAAGTGTTCCAGTCTCTCCACAACCTCTCCAGCATTTATTATTTTGTGTTTTTTTGATTAAGGCTAGCCTTGTTGAGGAGAGATGATATCTCATTGTAGTTTTGATCTGCATGTCTCTAATGGCTAATGATCGTGAGCATTTCTTTATGTGTTTGTTAGCCATCAAGGGACCTTTTTAAAGTGTTAAAAAGAAAGATGTCACTTTAAGGACTAAGTTGCTCCTGACCTCATATGCATGTGAAAGCTGCCAACAAATAAGGAAGACCCAAGAAGAATTGACACCTTTGAATATGGTGTTGGTGAAGAACATTGAATATACCATGGACTGCCAAAAGAACAAACAAATCTGTCTTGGAAGAAGTACAGCCAGCATGCTCCTTATTAGCAATGATGGCAAGTCTTTATCTCACATAATTTGGACGTTATCAAGAGGGAGCAGTCCCTGGAGAAGGACATCATGCTTGGTAAATTAGAGGATCAGCGAGCAAAAAAGAGGAAGACCCTCAATGAGATGGATTGACTCAGTGGCTGCAACAATGGGCTCAGGCATAGCAACGATCATGAGGATAGTGCAGGACCTGGCAGTGTTTGGTTCTGTTGTACATAGGGTCACTATGAACTGGAACCAATGCCATAGCACCTAACAACAACAAAATGTTATCTTGCCTTTAATAAACCTCTTTAACAGAGTGTGCAGTTTTTACTTTTTTACACTGTCCTCCGACACTCACTTGATGCATCAGCCAAAGCAAATGCAGCTACATTCAGGCCCCTCAGCCTTTGCTCATGCCATCACTGACTTCAGTGTTGTCATTCTACCCACTGCCACAGCTGCAGAACCAGCTGTGGGTGTGGACCTGGCATATCTGTTTTCATGAGCCCTCTTAGTTTCTCAGCAGCACTGCATTTCAGGGTGGGGAAACTGAGTCTGGCCTAGACTCACAAAGCACTCCCAGGTTTCCAGATACAGTTCTGTCCTCCTCCTGGCCTTCAGGCCTCACTTCACTCCTCTTCCACTGGGCAGAGTTCCAATCCGGCCTGTGAGACTTGAAAGCCACCGCCCGAGTCAGGCCCTCAGTTGCTATTTCTGTCTGTTAGAAGCTTTCCTCTACACCAGGACTTTGAGAGGCAGCTCGGAAGACAAAAGGGTCGCGGCTCCTTTAAGGACTCCGAGGCGGGGCGCCCCGATCTTTTGTCCGGGCGGTGGCGCGCGCGTAAGCGTCAACGCTCGCGCATGCGCATGGCTGGGGGCCTAGACAGCGGTGGTAGCGGCGGCGGCTGAGGGGTCCACAGCTACGGGAGCACCCGACCCAGCCCAGCTTTCGCCTCTTGGCCTCGGCTCCCCTCGGCGCGGCGCGTCCCGGCCCCGCCTCTGCCCTCTTGGCCTTTCGCAGCCCGGCCCCGGTCGCCCACCTCTGCCGCCGCAATGATGATGATGGCGCTGAGCAAGACCTTCGGGCAGAAGCCCGTCAAGTTCCAGCTGGAGGATGATGGCGAGTTCTACATGATCGGCTCCGAGGTACCGCGGCGCGTCCTCGCCCTACCCCGCCCTGCGAGAGGCCCCGGGGCGGGTCTGCGCACGGGGGGCGCGCGTCTCCATTCATCGCGACGGACGCGCGCGCGGGGCCTGGGGAGGACTTTCGGGGGTGTGGTCTACCCAGGCTCCGCCCCGGGCTTTCAGCGTTCAGAATTTAAGTTTCCTCCTGCTCCAGGGTTCACCCAGCTGCCAGGGCTTAGGCCCTAGAGGTGCCACTTGGACCTCGCTAAGCTGGTCTACCGCCAGCCAATACGCAAAGAAAAGGGATGTTTTGGTTAGCCCCTGCGGTGCATGAGGGGATTGCACTGTTGCCCTTAAACGTTTTGAGATGTTGGCAATCTCATGTGCACCTTGCCCCCGTTGTTCCATCTAAGATCCTGAAATCGCGGATTGGAAAACGGGGGCTTAGTAAGCGCTCCTCCCTTTTTGTGTTCGTTGCCGCGGAGGTGGGCCAAACCAAACCAAACCTACTGCCATCGGTCGATTCTGACTCATAACGACCCTGTAGGAGCAGAGATCTCTCAGCACTTCAGAAGCAATTGGCACTTTGGAGATTTGTGAACAGGCTGACCTGAATTATTATAGGGGGAAGGTTCTATCCTTTAATCCTCATTTACAAGTGACAGCACTGTGAGCCAGTTGGAGGACTGGCTTTAGGAAAAGCCTACAACTGTTCCTCTGATGGGGGTTTTTACTAAGTATATTAAGTTTTGCCAAACTGCCTTATATTAGTCCTTCCTGATCGAAAGCCAGTACCTAGCTAGTATATATTTCTTTTTTTCTTTCTTTAATTCATGAGTATAAATAAAATTCACAGGTGCAAATGTCACACCGTTGAGTCTCTTATGTGACGAGGTAAGTGCTGATCCTGGAGAGTGAACACAATTACAAAATGCCAAGGGCTTCCTCTCCTTGTAGCAGGTTGCACTGTCATAGTCCAACATCTCATTCATGTTTTTAAAAGTTTTGTTCCTTTTCTTCACCATTGAGCATAGCGTGAAAGAATCAAGCCTGTGATTGTCACACTGAGGCTGTCAGGACCCCTCATGACTCCCGTCTTGTCTTAGTTGTATCAAGTTTATGAGGCCAGTGTTGTCAGTCGCCTCAGAACTTTAATGTTTCACCAATTTTTATAAAACAGGAAGGGCAGGATGCAATAAATTCTTCATGTTATCATGTGAGTGCAACTGTTCAAAGAAAGCTTAGCTGGGGACAGGGAGCCAGTTTCTGTCCATCTCTCCCTGCTCAGAAGGACCCTCAGTGCCCACCTGCATGCAGAGCTCAGAAAGGAGTTTCCGTATGTGCTGTTGTGCAGGCTGTTTAATGACAAACCTTTACCTGACCTAATGGTAAAGTAGAGGGTCAGCGAAAGTAGAGGGTCAGCTTTTCACTGACCCTCTATGAGATGGATTGACGCAGTGGCTGCAGCTCAAGCATAGCAACGATTATGAGGATGGTGCAAGACTGGGCAGTGTTTCACTCTGTTGTACATAGGGTCGCTATGAGTCAGAACCCACTTGATGGCACCTAGCAACAACAACAATGGCCCTGACTTGGATTGGGTGGCCCTTTTGAGAAAAAAGCTTCCTTTTATTTGAAGGAGCAAAGTAGTTGGGAAGAAGCAACAGCCAGGTGGGAAGACCATCGGGGCCCTGGTTCTAGCCTCCTCCGTCTACATCACTTTTCTCATCTGTACAGTAAGATGCTCGGATAGCGTCTGGAAGACCTTCCATGTAACACTCTAGGTTTTTGGAAAGCTCACAACAGTCTTTTCTTTCAGCCCATTTGCTCCTGGCCCAGCTTGTTGAGTGATAGTGATTTCATGAGGGTCCCTTTGTTCCTACCCCAGACTGTAGAGACCTAGGTAGGAGAGGCCTACACTTGTACTCTTGGGCCAGGCTTAACAAGCATCAGCCCTTTGGTGTTTGGGGAAGGGTTCAAGGCCAGAATGCTATCTGTGGATATCCATTAGCTCCAGTGACTGTTGGTTGGAGGCCCTTGGACCCCTTGCCTTAGAAACAGCCTCTGTGTTCTGAGAGGCAGGCCGACCGTGGTCCCACGCCCAGCACCCCTGTGTGACACCCTGTGGAACTGCCTTAGGCAGCATCTGCAGTAGCTGTATGTGTCCTTATCCTCTCACCATGTACAGGTGGCTGTGGTCACCAGGCCTGGTCACAGAGCTGAGAGGACCCTGAAAAATCACTGAGCCCAGTACCTTCGTTTGACAGTTGGTACACCTGGGTTCAGAGAGCGCCAGGGCTGTTGCAGGGAAAACCCAGGGGGATGGCACCAGTGTCCTAAGTTCTGAAGGGGTCTCAGGAGGGGCTGAGGGGTCCCAGAGTCCCGTGGGACCTGCAGGGCAGTAATGGGGGGCATTGTGGTCAGTTTCTTTTCAAAAAATCTCATGAGAATTCTGCACTTATCCTTGGGTGGCACCAGCTCACAAGGCAGGGGTTTCGGTGGCTGGCTTCTGTGCTTTCTGTCTGGAGCAGGAGGGGCTTGTGCTACGCACAGGTTCTGGTTGATGCGTATACACATCTTGGACTCGTGAAATATAGAGAAACTAGCTTTTACTTAATAAATATACTATGCTGGGTAAGTAAAGTGGGAAAAGTCATAGCAGTGGTCTTTTGTGGAACAGAGTTCAGCAGTGCTGTGCCTTTGACAGAGGAGTCGAGGTACCCAGAAAAGGAAGGTGATCAAGGTCTCCAAGGGAGCCAGCACCTGGCCCCCAGGCCACTGGCCACAGGGCAGGGGTGGGGGCTCCAAGTGATAACTTTTTTTTTTTAAACTTTTTTTTGTACTTTAGATGAAGGTTTACAGAATAGTTTCTCATTAAACAGGTAGTACACATATTGTTTTATGACATTGGTTAACAACCCCATGACAACACTCTCCCTTCTCAACCTTGAGGACCTTTTCCGAGTGATAACTTTTGAGAAGTCAGTAAGACAGTGGGGTTTCTTCATAAAAACTTGAGGGATGGATTTCTTCTCCTGAAGGAAGTCATGTGTTTGGTTATAGGGACAAACAAACTGAAGCTGTTGTACAGGGAAGTAATTTATATAGCAGTCTAGCGAATGCCAATAAATGCTTTTTAACTCTTAGGAAAATTCCTTTGGTATCCCTGGTTTGAGTTTTGTTACTAAACTAAGTAACATGGGCCATGAGAGAAATTATTCTGCATCCGTCTAAAATTAAGAAACCTTTCTGATGTTTATTATATTGTAAAAATGTCAAAGTCTTTCTTAAAAGAAGGTCATAGAGGCCATACATTTTTGGAGAGTGCCAGAGATCTTTATTCCAAATCAGAATCTTGGCGAGCATCATGGTTAGCTTGGGGTGCCTGCCTTCTGGGGAAACTGCGGTTCCACTGGCACCTGGTCAGGCCTTTCGAACTTGGTCCTGTTATCAGAAAGCAGATGTTATCCTGCCTTATGCTGCAACTGCGGGCCACATGTGCACAGTGGTTGAGCCGTTGATGTTAGCGGCATGGGTTTTATCACCGTTGCAAGGCTGGCACCTGGGGGCTGGCCCGAGGCCTGCCCGCCTGTCTGTCACTCTGCCCAGTGGAGCTCCTGCACCAGGACCTCCTTTCTGCGTCAAGGCACGACCCTCATAGTGACCTTTCTTGCTTTACTCACAGGTGGGAAACTACCTCCGTATGTTCCGAGGTTCTCTGTACAAGAGATACCCCTCACTCTGGAGGCGGCTAGCCACTGTGGAAGAGAGGAAGAAAATAGTTGCATCGTCACATGGTAAAAAAACAAAACCTAACACTAAGGGTGCGTCTTCACGAGGGTTTGTAAACCTGTTTCAAAACCACTCGCTTATGTCATCAAGATAAAACGTTTTCACTCCAGAGTGTCTTCACTGCAACCTTGCTTAGTCTGGTGCTGCCCGGGCGTCCCTGGGCAGTGCTGCCCTGCCAGCTACCATCGGTGGGTGAGAAAGCACTCAGTGAGCAGAGTGTGGCCGTATGCAGGTCTTTCCAGATGGGTCTGTGGGGGCAGGGGGTGGGGTAGGGCCGGGAGCAGGTGCCGTGAAGACATGATGGTCTCAAAATGTTTTAGGAATGCTGTGATGCTCTGCCATCCGCATGGTGTGTCGACATCGTCATCCTCCATGCCGCCTGAGCAGTGGGTGGTGACCCTACCGCCCACTTCCCTGGGGCCTCACCGCTTGCTTTTCATAGCACTCCACTCTGTAGCGCCACATCGTGGGCAGCAGTGCTCATGCTCATGTGCATGTCTGGGCTTGCCAGGGCAGGGTGTGTGCTGCTTCGTGGTGAGTTGCTCACCACTTGTGAAGCAAGTGTGCCTTGGGCCATGGCAGCTCTGTACAGGGTGAAGGGGTGCTTTTTCAACACTGGGGTCTCCCTGAGAGACCCCCGGGTACAGATGGGCATGGATGCAGAGCAGTGTTTGACAAGTGGTGAGGCTGCCCCTACTAAGCAGAGGCGCCTTGTAGAGAGCTGCCCGGCCCCTTGGGTAAAGGCCTGCCCCGCAGCTCCGTGTGCATGTGTGTGCGTGTGTGTGCGTGCGTATGCATGCACATGCACATATGCATGGTTTTGCAGTCTGTGCAGTTTGGTTCTGTCCGTAGGTGCAGCTGTGGACTTGTCCACTGTGGACAAAGTAGTGGTTCTTTTAAGCCAGGAGCTAGAGCTGCTTTTTCGTCTGCTGCTGTAACCTTTCCACTGACACCCTTAAACAAGTGTCCCTGTCCTTTCCCCAGTGGAGCGCTACCCACTAACACAGCAACGCCCTGCTTTGCTTTCCTCTCTGCATGTCCAAAGTGAGGTCCTGGTGACAACATTTCCACCTTATGCGTGGAAACACCTCCCTGTAACTGAGCCATTTCTCCAGAGAACCAGGCTGGATTGTGCAGAGGTGGTGGCTCCCGATGGAGGTCCCCTGCAGAGCTTTGGGGAGGTCTGCTATAACCTGCCCTGCTTTCAAACGGCACACCTCAACTGGTCCCTAGGAACCCATGTTTGGTGTGGAGCAGCTCTTTCAAACTCCCTGGTCTCTTGTTTTAAAAGAAAGTGTTTTCCATCTTTCATCCCATCCCTCCACTCTGCTTCGTGTTGTGGATCACAGCGGTGTCAAACCTCTGGGCACTGGTGGTCTCACCCTGGGCTACCTTCTCCCAGGAGGGCCCAGGGACACATGTTCTGGAGTCTGGGGTCCCCACTGCTGTGCTGTGCGGTTGTTGCTGGTGCAGCTGCCTCTACCGCCCTCTGCCCAAACAAACCCAAGGGGTCATCACCAGTAGGACTTGTGTGTAAAGCCCTCAGACCCCATGGCCCTTTTGGAAGAGGCTGGCGCTGGGCAGTAGTGGGTTTGACACCTTGCTCTCCCTGCGCTCTGCATGCAAGGATCCTTGATATGCTGTGCTCACTGCTGGCTGCTGCCAGACCTCCCTCCTACCCCCCTGCAAGCTGACTGAAGCAGTATCTCTTGGTTATAGATCACGGCTACACGACACTGGCCACCAGTGTGACCCTGCTGAAGGCCTCTGAGGTAGAGGAGATCTTGGATGGCAATGACGAGAAGTACAAGGCTGTCTCCATTAGCACGGAGCCCCCCACCTACCTCAGGTACAGCACTGGGCAGGTCAGCACTGGGTACCCACACTGTCCTTTCCATACTTGGGAACCCACTGAGGCATGTACTTTTAAACACTTCACCCGCTTAGCACACAAGTTGTTTAAACAGGTTTCTAAGTGTCTTCTATGTCTTTGGAATTTATAGAAACGTAAGCCAAGTCCTGGTGCTGGTGAGTCACTGGGAATGCTTTGACAGTTCAGTTAACTTGTCAGAAAATGTAGTGGTGCAGGTAGACTCACGAAAGAAACAAACAATAGGTTTGAATGCATAAAAATGGAGAGCCTTTAAAAGAGCATCTATAACAAAATAAAAAAGCAAACGACAGATTGGGAAGTTGCTGTGTTATATTGAGTGCCTGTTCAATCAGATGTACAAGAAAAACCCAGTTACCCCAGTAGATTAGTGGGTGGAATAACAAACACGAGGGTGAAGGTTTGACCCCAGGTGGCATTTGAAAAATTCGAAGTAAAAAAAATCCAGCGGCAAATAAAGGACAGAGCTCTGTGGCTCTGTGCATGGTGTGCCCTTTATAAAGCTTTGTGACATCAGACAGTGTTGTGTTCTCTGACCACAGATTCCACACACAGATGTTCTCTGCAGCTTGTGAATAACAGTGGAAAACATATGAAGCCTGAGCATGCAGCCTCAGGGAATGGCCACATCGGTGAAATACAGCCCCTTGACAAGCTAAGCTGTAACCGTCATGTTCTCATCAGGTAGACACTGCAGTGACCCAAAACCTGGGTCCTGTGAGATGAGCCAAATGCAGAACTGTACCTACCTCCGTTATACTTCTTGCTCTCAAGAAAAGAAGCATTTATATGCACAAAACCCAGGGAGCACTAAGCAAAAAAAAAAAAGAATTCTTGCTTAGAGAGATGTGGTTGTAGAAGATCATTTCTTTCCAGATTTTCCCTCATCTTTGTTATTGGATTATTTCTGTGATTGCAAAAGAAAGCAAAAGGTGGCAGGTATCCAGCCAAACCATGCTGGAGACGTGTGCTCTGCAGATTCTGTCCTTGAGGGATGTGGTGAGAACACAGGGTGGCCGGCCCCTCCCTGAGGAGCCCCTGCAGGAAATTGTGTGCATGTAGGGTGGCTTTTAAGTCTGCACAGTCAGCTAGGAGCTTCTAGGCTGTAAGTACATTCGTGGGGATGGTGTTGCATGAGGAGCAGCTGAGGGAGTGGAGTCCTGTTCTGCTGACGGCAGAGCGGCAGTGCCAGCTTGAGGTTGACGGGAACAGGGAGCGCTGTCCCACGGCTCAACCCAATGAGGGACCAGCGACCACCACACCCACTGCCAGGCAGTTGCGACACAGTCAGACACACCCCGCAGGGGTCTTGAAAAGGTCTTGCAGTAGAAGGAAAGTTGCATCATGTGACTCGGGTTCTCTGTCCCGTGTCCAGCTGTGTGTGTTGTCACGCGTGCTCGCCATGTCTGACATAGCTTGCATTGTCTACTGGAAATGGCTGCCAGGCGAGTGGAGGCCAACTGGACATGAGAGACAGTTACTGAGGTGGGCTTAGCTCCAGGCTCCAGGAGGGGAGCCAGTGAGGAAAGAGAGTGTGGCCCTGCTGCATCGGAATCGCATGTGGACATTGTGAAGAATTCGTATTCCCGGCCCTGCTCCAGAGGGGGGTCACCTGGTCTGAGTGGGGCTCAGGACTTGACTCCTTAAAATTTTGCCCTCTTAACGAGTTTGCACAGCCAGGATTGGGAACCATAGCCCAGGCAGGCTGTAATGAGGACCTGGTTTTGCTGTCCCAGCTCTTAGTCCTTACCCAGATAAGCTCCTGGTTCCCTGTTTTCTCAGGTCTCTGGTCACAAGATCAAAGCCAGGCCTGTGTCCAGGAGACGTGATAGAATGCTCCCTGCCCAGCCTACAGGCAGGGTGGTTTTGGGCCTCCTATCTGAGGTACAGGTAGCCCCCATCATTGGAGAGAAAAGGGCGAGAGGGCCAGCACCTAGGCAGGTCTCTGCTGCTGGCAGGGGGTCCGTCGGCCTGTGTCACTCTCTGAACTGTGACAGTAATTAGAGGGGACATTGTGCAGGTGTCGGGGTAGAAGGATGAACTAAGCAGTCACTGCCCTCGTGCTGCTCACAGTCTCTCCAGGGGGGACAGACCCCAAGCGTGATGAAGGAGCCCAGCACGGAAGCTCAGTCTAGAATAGCTTCAGGTGTTTTTTAGTCATAAGAGCAAGCTGTAATTCCAGGAAAAAAGTGAGCCCTTTATGGGGCATAGGTTATGTAAATGACTTTAAGCATCACTTTCTAGAAGGCATTACCAGTACATCTTCTCACCTCTGCTGGTCTGGAAGCTTAGCAGCCGGGAGCCCTTCCCGACCCATCTCAGGATGGCTCTCATATAAAACAGCAGCGTGTTCACATCCCTCCCTGCTTCAGATCTTCAGGGATGTCCGCCAAGTTCAGCCCATTTCTCACAGGGTGTGGGAGACCCTGTAGTCGGACCTTTCTCTCTCAGCCTTGGCCCTGCTATGTCCTTACTGAGCTGGGCTCCCTGTGCCTGCAACTCCTGTCCTTTCTTGGTCCTCCCCATGAACTCATGCTTGGCATTAAGGCTCGTGTGAGTCCGCTCTTCCAGAGCTTTCCCTGTAGCGTCCCTTCCCACAGAGGGGAAGGCTGCTCCTTCACGAGCCATCGTGGCACTTAGCATATTACGTTGTGGCCACGGGTTAGCATCTGTCCCATGTGCTGGGCTAGGTCAGGCTGCTCTGCTCTGCTGGGCACATTGGAGCCTTGTCCCTGAAGAATCTGGAGCCTGACAGGTGTGCACTGGGTGGATGGATGCCAGCACTGAGTCGGGTACACAGAGGGGCCCCCAGGGACCTGGAGACTGACAGGTGGGAGCTGAGAGGTTGGACGCCCGCACTGAGTCAGGTGTGCCGAGGCCCCCAGGGACCTGGAGACTGACAGGTAGGAGCCGACAGGATGGACGCCCACACTGAGTCAGGTGTGCAGAGGCCCCCAGGGACCTGGAGACTGACAGGTGGGAGCTGGGAGGATGGATGCCCACACTGAGTCAGGTGTGCAGAGGTCCCCAGGGACCTGGAGACTGACAGGTGGGAGCTGGGAGGATGGACACCTGCACTGAGTAGGGTGCGCAGAGGAGCCAGACAGGGTGCAGCAGTGTCCCCTGACCCCGCATCAGTGCGGGGTCAGTGGTACCAGCTGCCCAGGCTGATTGGCAGGGGACGGTTTCCCATGTCTTCCCAGGGAGCAAAAAGCCAAAAGGAACAGCCAGTGGGTGCCCACCCTGCCCAACAGCTCCCACCATCTGGACGCTGTGCCATGTTCCACCACCATCAACAGGAACCGCATGGGCCGCGACAAGAAAAGGACCTTCCCTCTCTGGTGAGTATGCCGTCTGGCAAGGCAGGGCCACGCTACTTCACCAATGCTGCCTGAGTTTCTGAATGTGGTTTCATGTCCTCCTCTTCAGAAAAGGACTCTGCTCTGACCTGGTGTTCCCAAAAATCTGCCATCTTCCTCCTTGGAATGCTTTCCCTCAGCATAGTCTTGGACTTTCTCCAGCCTCACTGGCTCTGCCTGCTTTTTGTCTCTTGCTTTTTTCTCTTCATCTCTCCAGCACCTCAAGTAGAGTTCTTTGGGACACCGTCCTGGGCCCTTTTCTCTGACCTCAGTTTCTCAGGAGCTGGCCACAGCCAGTCTCGTGGTTTTAGATGCCACTCGTGTGAGTTTCACCTCATCAGTGTCCTGGAACTGCTATAACAAATTACCACAAGCTCGCTGGCTTAAACAACAGAAATTTATTCTCTCATGGTTCTGGAGGTCAGAAGTCTGAAGTCAGTTTCACTGGACTGAAATCAAGGTGTCGGCAGGGCCCTGCTCCCTCTGAAGGCTCCAGGGGAGAATCTGTTCCTTGCCTTCCCCAGCTTCTGGTGGCTGCCGGCGTTTCTGGTCTTGTCGCTGCATCTCTCCAATCTCTTACCTCTTCTTCTGTGTGAAAACTCTCTTTGCTTCTCTCCACTGGGACATGTGTGATAGCATTTAGGGCCCACCTGGATAATCCAGGATAATCTCTCCATCACAAAATTCTTAGTCATGTTTACAAAGGCCCCCCTTCTTTTTTTTGCCATCTGCAGTACCATTCACAGGTTCCAGAGATGAGGACATAGATACCTTTTGGGGGCCGTTTTTCAGCCTACCATACCCACATTCAGTTTCTGGCCCAGACACCTCCCCAGTGCGCCATCCTCACATACCCAAGTGTCTATGTGACGTCTCCACTGCCTATGGACTTCCTCATCTCAAGAGATGGCAATTCCATCCTTCTGGTTGTTCAGGCCAAAAATACTGAACTCTTACTCAACACCCGTCTTTTTCTTACATCACAAATCCAGTCTCAGCAAGTTCCTATTGCTCGGCCTTCTGTGTATCTGGACTCGGGCTGCTCAGCGTCACCCCCACTCCCACCACCTTGTCCAGCTCCCCACACCTCTCACTGGTCTCCTGGCCCTCCTCTTGCCACCCCCAGTCAGTTCTTGGCCCTGCAGCTAGCATGAGCCTCTTAGGCACAGGGCAGATGGCATTGCTCCTCCTCCATGTGGAGTCCTTCCAGAACCCTGCCTCATTCTAAGGGGAGCAGAGTCCTCCAGGGCTGTAGGCCCTGCCTGTTCCACTGCTGCAGCTCTTGGCCCTCTCTCGTGCTTTGGGCATGTCAGTCCCTTACCACCTCAGAGGCTCCTGCTCAGGCCTCCCCCTCGCCATTCACCCTGCTCAAGCTGTATTCCTGGGTTGCCCCTTCTTCCCTTCCACCTCTAATCGAAGGTCACTTCCTCAGCGCAGCTTCCCTGCTCAGTGTCCGGCACTCTGCCTTCTCCCTGCTTCATTCTTCTTCACGCCACTCGTGTCTGGTGTGTAGCGTGCTCTCCTTTGTGTTTGTCATCTGTTTCCGATGCTCTGAGGGCAGCTCTCAGCCCTCTTTATTCCGCGGACACTCTTAGGTTTACCCCTGCTCTCCCACACACACCCCCTGACCAACCTGCCACCTCCAGTCTTCCCTCTTGTCTTCCTGAAATACAGATGTGATCCATCATTTCCTCATTCAGGATCCTTCCTGAGATACAGATGTGGCCTGTCATTTCCTCATTCAGAGTCCATCTGGGGCTCCCTCAGGGTGGAGACAGGTCCATAGTCGGAGATGAGCACTAGTTGCTCTGTGGCGCTGCATGGCTTTCCAGCAGCATCCGCAGTGCGCTCTGTGTTGTCTCCCCTCCTCCTCTGTGGTCGGCTTGCTGTACCCTCAGCAGCTCCTGTTTTCCTGCATTTTGGCCTTTGCTGGCAATTTCCTTTTCTGGAAATACCCTTTCCCTTTCTAAGTTTTCTTTGGAAGTCTGGCCTACTTTGGAGCTAAATACCCCTGCGTTGTGATTGGATCTAGATCCACTCCCATTGCCTATGTCAGCAGCAGCCTTTCTGTCCCCTGTGTGTCTGTGGAGCAGCCTGTCCAAGCGGCACTTACCACAGATAGGCTGACGGTGGTCACTACAGCCCTCCCACCCCGTTAGATGTGGCTGGCCCCTGCTGAGCATGTCTCTAACAAGTGGGCTCTCCTGCAGCCAGGTCTGTGGGGACCAACGGCATTGGTCTTGGTGCAGAGAGGGAGCCTGAAAACACGCATCCCAGGAGCCCTATGCAGCAGCGCCACACGGCGCCTTGCTGAGTGTTGCTGCCATCTCTCACTTCCAGCTTCGACGATCACGACCCTGCTGTCATCCATGAGAATGCATCCCAGCCTGAGGTGCTGGTCCCCATCCGGCTGGACATGGAGATCGATGGGCAGAAGCTGCGGGATGCCTTCACCTGGAACATGAATGGTATGTGGGAGCTTGGGCTGTGGGCCCAGACCTGGCCACTGTGGTATTGCATGCAAACAGGCTCCTCTCCTGCTGGCAACCTGTCAGGCGGTTCTGGACTCTGAATGTGACTTTCAGAGCACTGTGGCCTAGCTTTGCAGGGTGTGGACCCTGGGTTTAAATCCTGGTTCTACCTGTTTCTTATGGGCTGGGCACATGAACCTTGGTTTGTTTCCTCACTGTGTAGGGCTGTTGGGGAGTGGCCAGCTGGCGGTCCACATAGCTCAGATGATGACAGTGGTGCTAACCAGACCCAGGCTCAGCCACCTGGCCCTCCCCACACACATCCTCAGCCACATCAGCCCCTGCTCTTCTTCCACGACTCCACACACACAGCTTCTCACCTCTCTGCCGCCCTTGGCAGGAGAGCCTTCTCTCACCCTCAGTGTTCTCTCCTTTGCGTGTTCTTCTTTAGGTCTGGGGTCGGGTTCCATCTCCCAGGTGTTCCCGGGCTCCCAGAGTCTAACTGCCTACAAATGCAGAGCAGGAAAGTTAGAGGCTGTGGGTTTGCGACAGTGTAGAGGGCTTATCCCATCTGGGAAGGAGGATTGTGTGGGGTTTTTACTTTCTTTTCTTGCTGAATCTTTCAGACTTTTACAGTGAACATATTTATGTTCAGACAAAAAATAGTGAATATCATTTTTTAATGAATAAAAGTTTAAAATCACCAGAATCTCACCACCCCAACAATATTTTCAGTTTTGCATTTTCCCTGCCAGCCACTTCTTCATGCAACCATATTAAATGTTGCAATTATGGTACTTTTATTTTATTTTTCATCACTTAAGTATTGTCCTACGTATTTTCACCAAGTTGAGGTCTCTTAATACTCTCCTGATATTAGACATCTCTATGCAAGTAACATATGTGCTTATAGCATTTTTACCCAGAAGGAGATTTCCTGAGGGAGGAATGTGTGCGCTTGTTGAGATGTGGTGGTATCGGGCTTTTTGGAGGGACTAGAGCTTCCTCTGGCTGTCCCCAGGCACTTTGTATCATAGCATGGCGAAGTTCATGAGGGACGCCAGGCTTCGTTATGTTATACCATATCCTCTTCACGAAGGCTGTGGGGATTTCAGTACTGTGTATAATTCTGTTTCTCCTGACCAGCATTTCACCGGTTGTTCCTCACAGGAAGTCCTTGTTTAAAATGTAATCATGCCTAGAATGTAATTTAGTACAAGCCACTCTTGAGGAACCAGAATGGTGTCATTCTGCAAATTCTCCCTTTGCCCAGCGTGGTATTTAGAGTGTCTAGAGCCATGATTCTTAACTGGTGATTAGGAGATTGCACCCCTGATGTGGTAGTTAAAAGAGCATGTTCAGAATTACTATTGATTTGCTGTGGTTTTAGTCATATCTAATTTACTTTGAAATTTCAAATAACCTTAAAGGAGGTCACGAGAGTCTTTATCACAAAGGGGAGAGGGACTAAAAAATGTGAAACAGCACCAGTTGAACACATGAATGGACTATATGTCCTTCAGACAAACTTGCATTACTAGAATTTGTCTCAAGCTTTTGGTAGGCTTTGGTTTGCAGTGAGTTCAAGGTTGTCTTCTCTGGAAAGGACTGGAAATGTATCTTATCTGAGTTGCTAGTGAAATGTGGTGTCATATGCCTTCACAGTCACCTTAGCAAGGGGAGTATTAAAATTCTCCAGAAAGGATGAGTTGTCTAACAAGAACAGGTGCCTACATAGACACCATCTTCGCCTAGAAAGGAGACAAGCAAATCCAAGGAGACGGCCATGTGCTGCCTCAGGAAAAGGTTTTGACTCTGTTCCAGCACACAGGCAAAAAGGTAATCAGGGCCTCCCAGGGGTCTACACTGCAGGACATTGTTTCAGAAGGCAAGATTTTAGAGATTTGTGTCTACGTGCTTACCTTGGATACTTAAATAAAGCAAAATGGCACATTCAGGAAGATGAATATACCCCCAAACAGGATAAACCCAAAGAAATCCATGCCAAGTGTGATCATTAAGGTTGTTTATCAACTTGGCTGGGCCATGATTCTCAGTGGTTTGGCAGTTATGATGTAGTTTGCCATTCATATAATAATGTGATCACCTCCATGCTGGGATCTGCTGTGAGTAGCCAGTCATATGAAAGGGAATTTCCTTTGGGGTGTGGCCTACATCCAATATAGGTGAACTTTCTGGCAAGGCTTGTGGGTTTTTGCTTGCTCTGGATTCTGCAGCTGGCTTCTGTTCATCTGACCTCCAGTTCTTGTGATTTGAGCTAGCACCTTACCTGCCAATCTTGAAGTTTGTCAGCCTCCGCAGTCCGCGAGCCAGCAGCCTGCCAGCTTACCTGCTGATCTTGGAATTCATCAGCCTCCACAGTCTGTGAGCCAGAGGCCTATTGTCTGACCTGCTGATCTTGGGTTCGCCAGCCCCTGCAGCTACATAAGTCAGGAGAAGCCTCCAGCCCGACCCACGGACTTGGGACTTTTCAGCCTCTACAACTGCATGAGCTATTTCCTTGATATAAATCTCTCTCTCTCTCTCTATGTGTAGACGCTTCACTAGTTTTGCTTCTCTAGAGATCCCAGCCTAAGATATTTGGTACCAAGAGTGGTCGTACAGAAACAGTATTGTACGGATGAGTTTTCTAAATTGATCTCAAGTCTGGTTAATCTTAAAGATGTTGATGACTGCTACCAGTAGTAAAGAGAGCACTGCTAATCCATGGCATGAGGTGGCAATAGAAATACACAAAATATCGCGACCAATAGATCAGGTATTGGTGACAGGCAAGACTCTGGGTGATCGCATGCTTGACACCTTTCTAGGGTTTTATCATAACGAGAAGTATAAGGAAGCTGGTTGGTTCATCCTGTTTTCGCTGGACAAAGTGAAAGAAAGAGATGAGCTCAGGGCTTCAGAGTCAACGTTCAAGCACCTCATAAACGACCTCAAAGTTTTCACTTGTGCCTTGAAACAAAGCTTTATTTCTTGTAGTAACAGAGCTGATATTGCCAAAAACCAAACCCAGGCTTGCTGGGGCTTAAGTCTAGTTATAGGTCTAGAAGCCACTCTTATTGTAACGGTGGCTGAATTACAATGCCAACTGAACTCCCAGCCTTGATTGGTGTCTGAAGTTAAAGTGAGGGCATTGATTGGAAGAAATGGGATCTTGAAACTTGGGATGGGAACATATGGGCAGATAATCAGGAAGCTGGGACAATGAGCCCCTAAATTCCGTGGAATCACTTCTGGCGACAGAACCAGCCCTCTTACTGCCACGTCTCCAGTAAAACCACTAGCCCCTCTACCCCTATCGGATGAGATTAACCCAGCTGTATCTAAAGAGCCTTTGTCTGAGTCATTGCCTGGAGCATTGCCTGAGGCAGATGCCTTAGAAGACATTGTTGAATGTCCTAAAAACACATCCCCACCACCCATTTTGGCTTCTAGACCTATAACTAGACTTAAGCCCCAGTGAGCCTCAAAAGGTGAAGTACAAAGTGTGACCTGGGGAAGGTATGCTACACTCCAAAATAACTGCTTGAGTTTTCTAATATATACAAACAGAACCTGGGGAATATGTGTGAGAATGGCTATTAAGGATGTGGGATAGTGGTGCAGGGAACACAAAGATGGATCAGTCTGAGTTTATTGATATGGGCTCACTAAGCAGACTCTTCAGTGTTTCAGCTTGAGAGGGTAGGAAAGGATCTAATATTTTATTTGGTTGGGTTACTGAAGCATGGATTACACAGTGGCCTATACTAAATCAAGTTGAAGTACCAGACCTGCCTTGGGTAGAAGAAGGTATCCAAAGGCTTAGGGAAATTGGCATGTTAGAGTGGATTTATCAGGTTAGATCCACAGACCCACACATGGAGTACCCAGAGGACATACCTTTTACCACAACAGTGAGGAACAAATTTGTGAAGGGAGCCCTGGCATCTTTGAAGACTGCTGTGATTGCTATTTTATGTAAGTCAGATTTGACAGTGGGAACTGCCCTAACTGAATTAAGACACCCAACTACAGTGGGGCCGATTGGACCCTGTGGTGGTAGGGGCCAAGTGGCGGCACCCGATCAACAAAGACCAGGTGAGTGTGGTTACTGTAATGGACAGTAGAATCAAAGCAGTAATCAGAATAATCTGACTTGTATGAACTTGTATCATTGGCTACTTAGTCATGGTGTTTCTAGGAGTGAAATAGGAAATCTACTAAATATTTACTTGATCTGTACAAGTGGAAGAATTCTAGGTCAAGTGAACACCAGTCTAACTCAAATTGCCGGAATAGAGAGTCACAACCCCTCATTAGATTCCCAGACTTGAATGAGTTTAAAGACCTACAACCCCTTGAATGAAGGGGAGGCCAGGTCTCCTTGAGAAAGGACCCCATTACACTGCCAAAACTTCATACTGTTAATCTTTTCTCCCAGCCTTCACCAAAGGGATCTATGACCTCTTACAAGAGTGACTGTTGGGGAAGAGGAAATAATCAGATTTAGAGGATTACTGGATACTGGCTCTGAACTGACACTAATTTCGGGAGACCCAAAACGTCACTGTGGCTCACCAATCAGAGTGGGAGCATATGGTGGTGAGGTTATTAATGGAGTCTTAGCTCATTTCCATCTCTCAGTAGGTCTAGTGGGTCTCTGAACCCATCCTGTAATGATTTCCCCAGTTTCCGAATGCATAATCGGAATAGATACACTCAGCAACTGGCAGAACCCCCACATTGGATTTCTGACAAGTGGAGTAAAGGCTATTATGGTAGAGAAAGCCAAGTGGAAGCCATTAGACCTACCCCTACCTGGGAAAATAGTAAACCAAAAGTAATACTACATTCCTGGAGGGATTGCAGAGATTACTGGCACCGTCAAGGACTTGAAGGATGCAGGGGTGGTGATTCCTGCCACATCCCCATCCAACTTGCCTATTTGGCCTGTGCAAGAAACAGATGGATCTTGGAGAATGACAGTGGATTAT